TTTCAGTAGTGTTGGCGGTTTATTTGGGATACCATTTGTATTTTGTTTTTGCAAAATAGTCAGGCTGAATCCCAGTTTGTTGTTTTTATAAAAAACAACTATTTATTAGTGGGGAATGTATGGCATTGTTTGCCGAGGGGTAAGGCAGGGAAGACTATAGTTTCGGATCACGCCACTGATCCTCATCAGTTCCCTTAGTTTTTTGTTGGGATATTCTACCCAGAAGCTATTGCTTCTATACAAAAAACCTTTCATACCCAAATGTCTCTTGTAACAAAGCGAAGTACTTAGCTGACCAACGACATAAACTGCATGATAATTTCGCTGGGGCCTCACTTCGAGGTTAACAAGGCATTTACAAACAATACCACACCTTTCCCACTGTTGTGTGTTGTCACATCGCGACAAATGCACACAACGACTTTGTTGGTGTTGCTAGTGTACAGCAACAAACCAAACAGTTTAACCGTGCCTGCGTCTACAACTTCAGTAGTGTTGGCGGTTTATTTGGGATACCATTTGTATTTTGTTTTTGCAAAATAGTCACGCTGAATCCCAGTTTGTTGTTTTTATAAAAAATAACTATTTATTAGTGGGAATGTATGGCATTGTTTGCCGAGGGGTAAGTTTCGGATCACGCCACTGATCCTCATCAGTTCCCTTAGTTTTTTGTTGGGATATTCTACCCAGAAGCTATTGCTTCTATACAAAAAACCTTTCATACCCAAATGTCTCTTGTAATAAAGCGAAGTACTTAGCTGACCAACGACATAAACTGCATGAGAATTTCGCTGGGGCCTCACTTCGAGGTTAACAAGGCATTTACAAACAATACCACACCTTTCCCACTGTTGTGTGTTGTCACATCGCGACAAATGCACACAACGACTTTGTTGGTGTTGCTAGTGTACAGCAACAAACCAAACAGTTTAACCGTGCCTGCGTCTACAACTTCAGTAGTGTTGGCGGTTTATTTGGGATACCATTTGTATTTTGTTTTTGCAAAATAGTCAGGCTGAATCCCAGTTTGTTGTTTTTATAAAAAACAACTATTTATTAGTGGGGAATGTATGGCATTGTTTGCCGAGGGGTAAGGCAGGGAAGACTATAGTTTCGGATCACGCCACTGATCCTCATCAGTTCCCTTAGTTTTTTGTTGGGATATTCTACCCAGAAGCTATTGCTTCTATACAAAAAACCTTTCATACCCAAATGTCTCTTGTAACAAAGCGAAGTACTTAGCTGACCAACGACATAAACTGCATGAGAATTTCGCTGGGGCCTCACTTCGAGGTTAACAAGGCATTTACAAACAATACCACACCTTTCCCACTTGTGTGTTGTCACATCGCGACAAATGCACACAACGACTTTGTTGGTGTTGCTAGTGTACAGCAACAAACCAAACAGTTTAACCGTGCCTGCGTCTACAACTTCAGTAGTGTTGGCGGTTTATTTGGGATACCATTTGTATTTTGTTTTTGCAAAATAGTCAGGCTGAATCCCAGTTTGTTGTTTTTATAAAAAACAACTATTTATTAGTGGGGAATGTATGGCATTGTTTGCCGAGGGGTAAGGCAGGGAAGACTATAGTTTCGGATCACGCCACTGATCCTCATCAGTTCCCTTAGTTTTTTGTTGGGATATTCTCCCCAGAAGCTATTGCTTCTATACAAAAAACCTTTCATACCCAAATGTCTCTTGTAACAAAGCGAAGTACTTAGCTGACCAACGACATAAACTGCATGATAATTTCGCTGGGGCCTCACTGGTATTGTGGTATTGTTTGTAAATGCCTTGTTAACCTCGAAGTGAGGCTCCAGCGAAATTCTCATGCAGTTTATGTCGTTGGTCAGCTAAGTACTTCGCTTTGTTACAAGAGACATTTGGGTATGAAAGGTTTTTTGTATAGAAGCAATAGCTTCTGGGGAGAATGTCCCAACAAAAAACTAAGGGAACTGATGAGGATCAGTGGCGTGATCCGAAAATATAGTCTTCCCTGCCTTACACCTCGGCAAACAATGCCATACATTCCCCACTAATAAATAGTTGTTTTTTATAAAAACAACAAACTGGGATTCAGCCTGACTATTTTGCAAAAACAAAATACAAATGGTATCCCAAATAAACCGCCAACACTACTGAAGTTGTAGACGCAGGCACGGTTAAACTGTTTGGTTTGTTGCTGTACACTAGCAACACCAACAAAGTCGTTGTGTGCATTTGTCGCGATGTGACAACACACAACAGTGGGAAAGGTGTGGTATTGTTTGTAAATGCCTTGTTAACCTCGAAGTGAGGCTCCAGCGAAATTCTCATGCAGTTTATGTCGTTGGTCAGCTAAGTACTTCGCTTTGTTACAAGAGACATTTGGGTATGAAAGGTTTTTTGTATAGAAGCAATAGCTTCTGGGGAGAATATCCCAACAAAAAACTAAGGGAACTGATGAGGATCAGTGGCGTGATCCGAAACTATAGTCTTCCCTGCCTTACCCCTCGGCAAACAATGCCATACATTCCCCACTAATAAATAGTTGTTTCTTATAAAAACAACAAACTGGGATTCAGCCTGACTATTTTGCAAAAACAAAATACAAATGGTATCCCAAATAAACCGCCAACACTACATTCTGAAATTATCTAATATTTATATTATTGCACATTCCAATATCTGGCCGATCGCTACGAGAACGCATTATGTTCAAAGATGAATGAAAATTCTTAATTTCTCTCTATATTTTTAATAGTTCATATACCGCCAAATTATATATGAGAAATGTATCTTGGCAACAAATAAACATGTGTACATTGAAAATGTAAGTCCAATGGTAGTTGTGTAAGGTATTACATTGCGACGACCGACTTTACTGCTCGGTTCACTGGTTTTAAGAAATTCAATTCAAAATGTAAACATTCCGTTTCAGAACATAAAAGGATCTGCTTATTTTACAATTTTTGCAACTTTTTACTCAAAACCCACAAATCTGGTAAAACATTGAATCAAATTTAAGAGAACGCAACACAAAATGGCGTTCTCTTTGTAAAGTTTTTACTCGAAAAATTTGTCCGAGTAGAAATGGTAAACAGGAATGCCAACTTCTGATTGGCTGTTATGTTAATTTTGAAGTATTGGCATCTAATTTTGGCATATTTATTTTGTACTCTGAGAGCGATTTTGTTGTGTTTCCCTTTTTCTAGCTTTAATATTAAAAACTTACTGGAACAGAGCAAATATGTTTTCCCAATAAATAATTTAATGTATGTTTACCCAACATTAATAAAGAGTATCCCAGTTACAAATTCCAAATAAGTAATTGACACACATGTAAATAAGGTCCTTGCGTAATACGGACGTTCAAGGTGAGAAGTTGGGTATACTGTGGACTTTAACCACGATTTACCGTTAATTACATATATTATTTTTTGCACCAAGGTGTATTTTTAAGCAATGTACTTTAAATGATTTATCGAACAAAAATTAATATAGAGTAACTTCGGGTAATGTGGACCACCATTTTCTTCTTTTTGATATTGTGGGTGTAACAACGGTAAAAAATAAAAACAAATTGTTTTCACAACATAGTAGATTTGTAGGCTAAATATATTCCAGGTCAAAAATTATATATATATGTCTATAAAAATTTTATTGTATTATATTTCAAAAAACTCTAAACTGCAAATAAAAATAACTTGGCGGGTAATGTGGACCAGTATGTGTGGGTAATGAGAATCAGTAAGTTAAAGGTAGGTTGTGGACTGGGTGTAATAAATTTCAATTTATTGCACTCTTAGGTAACAATGAATGCAAAAATATATGGGTTCATGTTTTGGAATAGCCCCCATTTAAGGGTACCGCCCCATTTAAGGGTACCGCCCCATTTGCGGTATTTTAAAGGTCCTTGCTTCATTATCCAACCGAAGCACCTGTAATTTCGCATATCGAGTTTTTAGAGGTTAGAATACCTACTCGCATATTAAATGCGCCCCCGTTTCGAACTCGTCCTCATGAAAAGGTCCTACTTTTTTTTAGTGGTCCACATTACCCTACATTGGATATTTTTATTTAAGAAAAGTTATCGGCTTCAAAAATGAATAAAAAATTTTATTTTGTAATTACAGCTAAACGTATATTTTTTGTTAAAGAAAACAAGAAAACCACATAACTTCTTTATATTCGAGAAAAATAAAGTGCTCATCTATTTTGCAAAAACGTTCGACTATTGTGCTACAAAATGCTCAAATCACACTTTTACAATCAGTGCTACATTTTCTACTACTACATTTTCAACATTGCAATTATTTATTTAAAAACAATTTTGATGTTTGTTTTCACTAATTAGGAAAACATTTATCAAGTCGGCATTGACATATTTCTTAGATATGGGGGGTGGTCCACATTTCACGCATGGTCCACATTACCCGAAGTTACTCTATATGCTGATTCCCGAGACTATATTCCTTATGCTATGTACATTCGTTGTTCGACCCTGAATTATGAAATAATTACTTAGTTTCCCACAAAAATAAAAAAAAATTACCTTATTCTCCAAATTCTTTACAATTTATCACTTGGCAAGGTTGCGTGGGTGTTTCAATAGTGTTGTAAGGTATATATTTTCTGTTAAAGGTCGACAAAACTTTTAATTTTTGAATGTACTTTTTTCAATAATAATGATGTGTAGTCTGCTTGTACCAATACAGAATTTGTTAGTAAGCCTTGTAACAAGAAATACGTAAATGAAATATATTTAATCAAAGTTTCATACTAAAGTCAAGATGAAGAGAACTGATTACTCTAAGCACAGTAATTCACGGTGAAGTAATGCTTACTCCGTAAATATTAAATTTCCGAAGGTAGCTGGTAAAAATATGTTAATGTGGTTCAAATACGCAATGGTCCAATGCATCTGTAAAATAGTACATTTTTTTTTTTTTTTTTTTTTTTTGCACATTGTGTATGAAATTTATAATGAGAATATAAATTTATTATTTTATTTTTAGATTCCAATAAGAGATATAACAAGTCATCGTATAATAAAAGAGACGATTATCAACAATCTGCTTGGGGTCCAAACACACGAAGGGGAGTAACAAGTGATATTTCATCCGTAAACTATCACAAGGTAAATATGCACTGTAGTATAACACATATGAACTCTTTATTAAGCGAATATATATATTGTTGCATTAAATGTAAAGGGTAATCGTTATGATGAGAATAAACAGGACAATTACGGAAACGAAAAGTTGGATAATAAAAATAACGTGGTCTTTTCTTCCGAAGAGAAGAAAAGCTCTAGCTCAACATCGGCTCCCAAAAAGACAACATGGGCATCGATTGCCTCACAACCAGCAAAATTGACGTCGAGGGTGAGCATAAATATGATACGAATCGGAAACGGTGTTAATTACAAATTATGTACTTTATTACAGACTACTCTTACAACTTCCAGTCACAAAAAGAAAGGCCCTGGTATGCCTCCACCCCCCATGGTACCAGGCAAACATAATTTGGACGTGAATATTTGGGATATTCCCAACAACAATCCACCACCAGTGCCGTCACCACCGCCACCAATTGACTTGGGTGCGAGTGACCTCAATTCAGACTTTTCTCCCGGACTGGGTTCGGATTTTGAACTATCTTCACGATCAGAGAATAGTGGTTCGAATAGAATTCCAGATAATACAAAAGATGATAACAAAGGGAATTATGGAAATTTTGCTCGTGTAAGGAGTTCACCTAATGGACACTCCCGAAAAAATTGGTCTACTCAACACCCATTGCATCATCAACTAAACACTCGACAGCCAGGAAATATGCGTCATTCTGATGGAAAATTAGGAGGTGGTGGTGGTGGTCATGGTAGAGGAAACAATGACAACACCGGCATAAGTTCTGGTTATGGTCGCTATGGAGATCGAAGGTCTCATTACGGGCCGTCGCGCCATGATAACGAAAGTGTGCCCACAGATTTGCATGGGGGAAGTTCCCCAAAAAATATTGACACAAACGACAGACCTGTTGAATCTCCACAGGCAGTTTTGGAGGAATTACGTGACAAAAATAATTATAACCCAGCTGAGATTGATTTAGAAAGTGCTGCTACTGCCAGGTAATTTCAACATTAATAATGTTGGCAAAAGCGTACTAATTTGTATTTATTTTTAGATTTTTTGTCATTAAATCGTACTCGGAGGATGATATTCATCGTAGCATAAAGTATGAAATATGGTGTTCAACAGACCACGGAAATAAACGGCTAGATGATGCCTTTAAGGAGCGCCACAAGGAAAACGGAAATGTACTACTCTTTTTCTCGGTAAATGGCTCCGGTCACTTTTGTGGGATGGCTCAAATGATGACTCCTGTTGATTACAATTCAACGTCAAGTGTATGGTCGCAGGACAAGTGGAAGGGTAAATTTAAAGTCAAGTGGATATATGTTAAGGACGTTCCGAACAATGCCTTGCGCCACATAACATTAGAAAATAATGAAAACAAGCCCGTAACCAATTCCCGTGACACCCAAGAAGTGCCCCACGCCAAGGGAATAGAAGTTTTACAAATTCTCCATTCCTATGAACACGTAACGTCTATATTCGACGATTTCTACCATTATGAGAAGAAGCAAGAAGAAGAGGTGTCGTCAAAGAAACCTCTAGGTGGATATGATGGTCCCCAATCTAGACCTCATTACAACTCGCGCCAAAACGATGATCGCGACAGAGAACGTGAGGGACGTAGTGGAGGAAGTGGTTTACCACCAAAGTATTATGGTGGTGGCTCTTCCTTCCGTGATCGAAATAACACTTATCGTGGTGGAAGTTATAATTCATATAACGATCATCGCCGTTTCGACAGTCATCGAGCAGTAGATCGTAGTGATTTTAAAGATGTTGATGCTGACAGAGAGAACAATGAATACAATAATTCCAGTAGAAATATTTCAAAGTATGAATACAACAGACGGGATGATCGAATGTCGTCTAAACACAATAACAGAGAGAGGGAATTTCTAGATGAACAACATACAAAGCCCGAATCTTCTCGAATTCGTTCTGTACCAAGGGAAACACAAAAAGTAAATATAAACATTTAATTTCTTCATATTTTTGGCATTTGCCTGAACATTTGTAAATATTTAAATTAATAATCTTACTTATTTGTAATGTCCTTTTTTTGCAGGACAACGAATATTCCAACACAGATCGCGTTCGAGGTAACGACTATTGATCATAAAAAACCCCAGAGATTACCGTAGAAATTAACGCATGAAATAGGAAATGGTTGGTTAGAAAGTCTTAAAACAAATATTTTTGGCGTAACTACATTGTATCTAATTAACCATAAAAAATAGGATATGCCGAAACCTACAATTTCAACTAAACACCAATACGATGATGACGATTTATAGGTGTATATGCATTAACATATGCATCTTTATTTATTAATATATCTGAAATTACCGATTTTTACTTCAAATTGCAATTAAAAATGTAAAAGCATCCACACGATAAAAAGCAAATAAAATATATAGATTATATAAAAATACATTAAAAGATGATCAATATATTACTGAAAAGAAATGAGAAATAATATTTTTACGTAATTATTTATTAGTATGTAATTATAATTCTATTGACATTTGATGTATCGACTAAATGCCCGACAAATTAACGATGGTTTGCTATAGAAGCCATTCCTTGTAGTTGCACTGTTATAATAAATTAGAAAATCATCATACTAAAATCAACAGCATGTAACAAATTCATCAAATAATTGTATGTACACGATTAATTATGTATATTATTACCATGAAGTAACTTTTCATCTTATATACCCGAACGAAAAATTAAATAAAAATATATAAAACCCGTATGAACTACTTATTGATTATATTTTTTTTATTTTTTCGAAAATCCTTGAGTATTCGAAGAATAACATTTATCGTGTTTCTAAGGGTCATTCATAAAGTCATTCAAACATTATGTACATTATATACTGATTTGCCGACGAACGTGTATTTGCAAGATTGACTAATGATTTGCTGACATTTCAATCTGGATATAGTCATCCTTATTACGGTAGGCGTAGTCGTTGTACGGCAGCTCTCGTAGGCGTAGTCGAATGCGTTGTCGTTTTTGGTCGGTATTATGTAAAATTTACGACAAATTTTGTAATAGGTTCTTCTTTTACTCTGTTACAAAACAAAAGCAAAAATTGTACTTTTAAAACCCTTTATATTTTGTATTGGAAAAACTATGCCATTTTGTTTTGTTTTCTAATTAATGGGTCGATTATGGAAAGCAACAAAACTCCAGTTATTTCAACTGGCAACGCCACTGAAATAAAACTTAACATCATAAATATCAATGGGTCGATTACGGATGGTAACCATAGTTTAGTGGCGTTGCTAGTTGCCAAATTTGAATAATGGATGGCAACTGTTGTCAACTTCAGTTGCTTTAAATAGAATTTTTCGACAACCATTTATTTCTGGTTGTTGCTTATAGCCTAGACAGACGACAGCCTTAATTTGCATTAACAGCCTTAATTCAAATTAACTTGTACATTATCCCCATTTTTATGTGTTGTAAATGCACAAAATCAAACCGAATTTATACTGAATTAACCAATTTCAATATGGCAATGCTGTAGAAAATAAATTGATTGTTGTCAAATTTGTTAACGTTTATGAAAATAAAAATTAGAAAAAAAGGCAAAATACAACATTCCGTCGGTAGGCGTAGTCGTTGTACGGCAGCTCTCGTAGACGTAGTCGAATGCGTTGTCGTTTTTGGTCGGTATTATGTAAAATTTACGACAAATTTTGTAATAGGTTCTTCTTTTACTCTGTTACAAAACAAAAGCAAAAATTGTACTTTTAAAACCCTTTATATTTTGTATTGGAAAAACTATGCCATTTTTTTTTTTTTTTTTTTTTTTTTTAAGTTTTTGGCCCGCCTCCCGATGGTCGAGTTTTAACAGCGCCACCACCAATTAAGTAGACTTTGTCTACGAGCCTTCAATGAGGGTTAGATTTTGACTTTAATTTCCTTGATAAATTTGACTAAGTCGTAAAGATGATTCCAATTATGTTTTTTAATGAAATCCTCTACTGTTTGGATTCCATTGAACGATGCAAACTTTACTCTGGTGGTGGTGAATCTTGTGCAAACAAACAAAATGTGAGTGACCGTCTCTTCCGTCTTGCAAACTTGGCACTCACCAGAACCGACTACATTCATTTTGGCCAATGTGCTGTTGCTGAAGGTGTGGTTACTCAGTATGCGGTTAATCACTCTCTGATCATCTGGGTGTAATTTCGTTTTGCATGGGTGTTTAGATGGTTGAGAAAAAATTTTATAAAAATGAGAGGAGTTCCGTTCAGCTATGGATTTGCATTCATCAGCCCATTCTGCCCATACTGACTCTTGAATTCTGCAATTGGCCACATTAAGTTCAGGCAAGTGCCATTTACTGGTGCGTTCTTTGCTGCCTGGTCCACCAGCTCATTGGGACCAATCCCTGCGTGACCAGGGATGTTATGGAACTGAGTTTCTATACCCGCTGTATTGATGATATCAATAAATTCATTTATCAAATAGTTTTTGTGCTGTGTGGATTCTACTGCCGCAATACCACTTAGACTGTCAGTCAATATAGCGCTTACACCTCTTTTTCTAGAGCCTGCGCCCTCAAAGAAATCCACATCACTTGAAATACGCTTACTTGCAACGGGTATAATTCGTGTCGTTGCAACATTTTCCACAATTTGCTGATACTTGTCAAACACTATCGTATAACTAGTTGTTCTGCTCTGCATACGCCTGATATTCTCCAGACTTGGCAATCCAAAGGCCTTGGCTTTGACTAACTCCTTGGCTGTTGCCAGCTCAAATCTGTATTTTGGGGGTAATTCACACGCAAGCTGATATAAAATGGGTACAGGTGTGGAACGGATAAGACCCAGCGCCCTACGTAAAAACTTGTGCGTACTAGTTTTGATTTTACTAGCAGATGCTTTTGTTAGATTGGATAATGCAGATGCTCCATACTCCAGTTTTGCTCTGGCAAACGCCTTGTAGAAATGCATGGCTTTGGCTGGGGAAATTCCAAAGCTGCATCCACTTAAAATGTGAAGGAAGTTATTAACTTTATCTGTCGATGAAGTAGCTTCGTCGATGTGTATCTTAGAAGAGCCGCCAGCAGAAATGACGAGACCCAGATATTTGATGTTTGCCACCTGTTTGACTGAAATACCATTAATGCATATATTCATTTGTTTAGGCCTTCTTGAAAAGTGAACAGTGTTAATTTTGTTCATATTAAAACCCAGACCTAGCCCCTTACAGTCCTCGTGGAAGCGGCTAATACTTTCAGTCAGAATTTCACTTGCCTTTTGGAAGCTTTTGTCGTGGCAAACCAAGAAAAAATCATCCGCAAACTGAAAGATGTCGATGTTACTGGAATTGATGTCATGCAAGGAAGACGTGTAGATATTAAAGAGCAACGGGCTGAGACCACTTCCTTGAGGAAGACCATTCACTACAATTCTTCTACTCTTACCCAACTCCAATTGCCTGCGTTTCATACTGTCCACAATCCATTTGATTATGTGTGGATTATACCCTTTCCGAAACATTACTACCGCCAATTGTTGATCACATCATTGATGCACATGGACGTGGATCTACCCGGTCTAAACGCATATGACCTAGGGGGAACTATCCCATTATCTTCAGTAAAACGAAGAATCATACTCTTGATGGCGCTCTCCAAAATCTTTTGTGATGCACACATAAGTGCAATTGGGCGATAATTTTGAATGTTTCCAGGATCTTTGCCCCTCTTGGGGATCGGAGAAATCCTAATTCTCCTCCATTCGCTCGGGAAGCTACCTTTGTTCCATATTTCAACCAGAATATTAAAAAATTTCTGCCTTTCGGTTGCGTTAAGACTGTTTATCATTTTATACGATACACCATCTGGTCCTGCTGCTGACGTAGGGCTTCTAGAGTCGTGAAAGGCTTCAAAGCACTTAATGTCCAAGGTAGGCCTTTGGCTTATCAAGTTCCCGAAGACTATGGGTGCGTCGTTACAACCAGAAATGGACTGCCGTGTTATAAAATCAAGGAATTCTTCATTTTGTTCATGACTCCATGAACTATTAATCGGCTTGACTTTCCCGTACTTCTTAACATTCCTAAGTTTAGACCACATATCCTTACTTGAAATTGGATTGTTCAAATGGCTGAGAAATTTCCTGAAGTTTCTCCTCTTCTTTTTTTCGCACATTCGAAAAAGCCGTCGTTCAATATCGGCAAGTTCCAGAGCATCAGACCACGCCTTTGTCTTTTCGTACTTCCTTCTTGCTTGTGTCCGTAGATTATACATTGACTTAATATCTTCATCCCACCAAGGCTTGGGGACATACTTATTTCTGGGATCCAGGCGAATTTTGTTACTTGAAATAATATTATTAACATTGTCATAGAATTCTTCTAAATTATTTCCCACCGTCATTTTATTCATTTGGCAAAGGACATTTGCTGTTCGAACTCTGTATACTTGTCTGGGTTTGTTTGAATCATTGATAAAAGAGATAACAATTGGATGATGATTACTTTTTGAAATTTTCGTGTTGCTCGTAGTCCAACTGACTTGAAGACTTGTAGTATTAATAAAAGTGAGGTCTATAGCAGATTGACTGGTGTTGGTAGAAAAAGTAGGGTCTCCGTTGTTTAGGCAGCTAAAATCATACTCATTTGCCAGTGTAAGCACGATATCACCTTGTATGTCCGTTGCCGAATTGCCCCATGATGTTGCTTTCGCATTAAAATCGCCCATTATGATAGTGACTCCACTAAGTCTCGAAGCAGACTCGAAAACAATCTTAGCTATCTGCCGATATTGGTCTCGGTGCAGGTTAGGTGGAATGTAAACCGATAGTATATTCATATTACTTTTAAGATTAGTTGTGCTAATGCCCACAATTTCAAATTCTGTGTTGATGTTTATTAAAGCAAACTTTATTTCTCTTTTCAATAGGATACCTACTCCTCCATACCCGTCAGATCTAGCTTTACTGACAAAATTATAGTTTCCAAAACTGGCATTGGAATTATCTTTAACCCAGGTTTCAGATATTGCAGCAATGTCAATGTTTTCATACTCTAGAAAAAGTTCCAACATGTCCTTATTTTCGCGCTTGCTGATACTCTGAATATTAT